CTTGTGTCAGCATGACAAAGGTTGTTAATGAGTCTTCCTGGAATCCTGATGCCCCAATCTTCTTCATATAGTCCAGTTTCTCAGATTATTTGCTCAGCATACAGATTGAATAGGTGTGGTGAAAGGATACAACCCTGATGCACACTTCTTCTGACTTTAAACCACGCAGTATCCCCTTGTTCTGTTTGTAACAACTGCCTCTTGATCTATGTGCAGGTTCCTCATGAGCACAATGAGGCGTTCTGGAATTCCCGTTCTTTGCAATGTTACCCATAGTTTGTTATGATCCACACAGTTGAATGCCTTTGCATAGTTAGGTAAAAACAGGTAAATATCTTCCTGGTATGCTCTGCTTTCAGACAGGATCCATCTGACATCAGGTATGATATCCCTGGTTCCGAATCTTCTTCTAAATCCGGCTTGGATTTCTGGCAGTTCCCTGTCAATGTACTGCTGCAGCCGCTTTTGAATGATCTTCAGCAAAATTTTACCGCGTGTGATATTAATGATATTGTTCGATAATTTCCACATTCAGTTGGATCACCTTTCTTGGGAATAGGCATAAATGTAGATCTCTTCCAGCTGGTTGACCAGGTAGCTGTCTTCCAAATTTCATGGCATAGATGAGTGAGTACTTCCAGGGCTGCATCCATTTGTTGAAACATCTCAACTGATATTTTGTCAATTCCTGGAGGCTTGTTTTTTGCCAATCCTTCAGTGCAGCTTGGTCTTCTTCCTTTAGTACCATCGGTTCCTGATCATATGCTACCTCCTGAAATGGCTGAACATCTACCAATTCTTTTTGGTATAGTGACTCTGTCTATTCCTTCCATCTTTTGATGCTTCCTGCATCGTTTAATATTTTCCTCATCGAATCCTTCAATACTGTGATTCAAGGCTTGAATATTTTCTTCAGTTCTTTCAGCTTGAGAAATGCCAAGCATAGTCTTCCTTTTTGGTTTTCTATCTCCAGGTCTTTGCACATGTCATTATAATACTTTTCTTAGTCTTCTCGAGCCGCCCCTTGAAATCTTCTGATCAGGTCTTTTACTTCATCATTTCTTCCTTTCGCTTTAGCTACTCGACGTTCAAGAGCAAGTCTCCTGTGACATCCATTTTGGTCTTTTCTTTCTTTCCTGTCTTTTTAATGACTGCTTACTTTCTTCACGTATGATGTCCTTGATGTCATTCCACAACTCATCTGGTCTTCCGTCATTAGTGTTCAATGCGTCAAACCTATTGTTGAGATGGTTTCTAAATTCAGGCAGGATATACTCAAAGTTTTACTTTGGCTCTCATGGACTTGCTGTAATTTTCTTCAGTTTCAACTTGAATTTGCATATGAGCAATTGATGATTGTTCCACACTCGGCCCCTGGCCTTGTTCTGACTGATGATATTGAGCTTTTCCATCGTACCTTCCCACAGATGTAGTCAATTTGATTCCTGTGTATTCCATCTGGTGAGGTCCACTTGTATAGTCGCTGTTTATGTTGTTGAAAAAAGGTATTTGCAATGAAGAAGTCGTTCGTCTTGCAAAATTCTATCATGCGATGCGCGGCATCTTTTCTATCACCAAGGCCGTATTTTCCAACTACTGATCCTTCTCCTTTGTTTCCAACTTTCGCATTCCAATCACCAGTAATTATCAATGCATCCTGATTGCCTGTTCCGTCAATTTCAGACTGCAGAAGTTGGTGAAAATCTTCAATTTCTTCATATTTGGCATTAGTGGTTGGTGCGTAAATTTGAATAACAGTCGTATTAACTGGTCAGATATTATCCTATTACTGACACTGTTGAACTTTGGGATACATCTTGAAATTTTTTTTTGACGATGAATGCAGTGCCATTCCTCTTCAAGTTGTCATTCTGAGCATAGTAGACCATATGATTGTCTGGTTCAAAATGGCCAATACCAGGCCATTTCAGCTCAATAATGACTAGGATATCAATGTTTATGCGTTCCATTTCGTTTTTGATGATTTCCAATTTTCCGAGATTCATGCTTCGTACATTCCAAGTTCCGACTATTAATGGATGTTTGCAGCTGTTTCTTCTCATTTTGCGTCATGCCACATCAGCAAATGAAAGTCTCGAAAGCTTGACTCCATCCACATCATTAAGATCGACTCTACTTTGAGGAGGCAGCTCTTCCCCAGTCGTATTTTGAGTGCGTTCTAACCTGAGGGGCTCATCTTCTGGCACTATATCAGATAGTGTTCCGCTGCTATTCATAAGGTTATCACTAGCTAATTCTTTTCAGAAATAGACTGCCAGTTCCTTCTTCCTAGTCTGTCTTAGTCTGGAGGCTCAGCTGAAACCTGTTTGCCATGGGTGACCCTGCTGATATTTAAATACCGGTTGCATAGCTTCCAGCATCACAGCAACACAAAAGCCCCCAAAGTACAACAAACTGACAGATGGGTGGGGGTTGTGGCTTATAGCACCAAGTAAATACTTCACTTTAGTTTTTTGCACTTTTCCATCCTAAAATTAAAGCTCTGTCATCCTTGTATTTTTACCCAAATATCTCTGTCTTTGTAGATTTAAATATATTTTTCTAAAACTTACTTAGCTAATACTTTAGTTACCCAAGTTTATCAAAGTCTAAACCAATTTCCATTTTACAAAGACAGTAGTAAAAACAGATTTAGCATACCAAATCACTTGAATTAACAGAATAAATACCTTGGATTTTCCCATTTTGTAGATGGAGTTTATTTACCAGCAAACTGTTTTATACTTTATTTGGGTCTGTTTCTAGGACTGCATAAATTTCTTACCACACAAGAAGACCTAGAATTCCATTTACCAATATAGGTGACTAGACTTTGGACCACAAATGATCCTAGAGTTTCCTCTATATTAATGCAAAGACAGAAGATTTGGATCCTGGTATTTGTAAAGGACTCTTTTTTGTGATTTTTTAAAAATATATTTTTAGTGGAAGTTTACACAGCACATCAGGATCTTATTTAACAATTTTTTTTACATATTGTTTAATGACATTGGTTACATTTTTCACAATTTATCAGCATTCTCATTATTTCCATTTTGATTGTTCTGTTTTTATTAATCTAGTGTCTCTGCCCCCCCTTACCTTCTCATCTTTGGTCTAGAGTAAATGTTTACTGTTTGGTTTCATTTAGATGGTTACTTAGAGGAGCACAGTACTCATGGGTGATGTTATTTATTTTATGAGCCAATCTGTCATTTGGCTGAAAGGTGACCCCCGGGAGTGGTTTGAGTTCCAAGTTTAAAAGGTATCCCATGGCAATAGTCTTGAGGGTTCTTCTAATCTCTACTGATCCAGTAAATCTGGCCTGTAAAGAAGCCTTTTTAATAGTGTGATCCGTACCCATTCCCACCAGTTCCAGAGGAATGACACTGTATGGTTTTCTTATGCAACAAAGCTCTAAAACAATAGCTACCTCATGAAAGCAAATGCTGGAATCCAACTTACTGTGCTTTGGATTTCACTGACAATATCAGACATTTATTTTCTAGACCTTAATTTATCAATGGAACCTTAAAGGAACTTTCATTTCACCTTACATTTTTACCAGTTCTAAGCCTAGTAACCCCAGCTTTGACAGCTTGATTCAATATAGGCCATCGTCCTCATTTTAACTGTCAAATATTTGGTGTTCATTCAGTGTTCATGTGTCCATGACTCAGTGGCAGAAGCTAGAGTATGAAAATACTGGGATTTCCTTGGTTTTCACGTATGTGGCAGGTCATTGATACCTTCTGGCATCAACTGAAACTTTTAAGTGAGCTAAAGGACTTTTGTTGAAGGTGGAGAGAATTAGGAGAAGATTTTGAAATTAATTTCCAAATCAAATTTGAGAGCACCTTATGGTAAATGGTAGGATATAGCATCCCTCTTTGCACAATATTCTGTAACAGAGATCTCCATATGTATCCATTCCTTTTATATTTTTAACTTTTTATAAGTATTTTAGCTTTAATACCAAATATTATCACAAGGTATATCTCCTCTTCAAATAGGCAGCATACTGTTCTGTCCAAAAGTAGCCAAACATTAATGCTGTAATTTAATAAACTTTCCAGTAGGGGTCTCTGAACTTCATGTTTTATAATATGAGCATTTTAAACAATAAAATTAAACCTGATCATTTACATGACAGAAATCTACTCTTTTGAACTTTGTAAATATGGAATCTTTTCTGATGAGCATGTTTTCCTATGATTAGATTTTAGGATAACTTATATATATAGGAAACCCTGGTGGCATAGTGGTTAAGAGCTACAGCTGTTAACCAAAAGGTCAGCAGTTTGAATCCACCAGGCACTTCTTGGAAACTCTATGGGGCAGTTCTACTCTGTCCCATAGGGTCACTATGAGTCGGAATTGACTCAATAGCAATAGGTTTGGTTTTTGTTTGTTTTCTTTTTTTGTGTATGTGTGTATGTGTGTGTGTATATATATATATGAATAAACTCTGCTTCAGAGTCCCTGGTTGGCACAAATAGTTAAGCAGTTGGCTACTAACCAAAAGGTTGGCAGTTCGAACCCATCCAGAGGTACCTCAGAAGAAAGACCTGGCGGTCTGCTTCCAAAAAATCAGTCATGAAAACCCTATGGAGCACAGTTCCGCTGTGCAACACATGAGGTCTCCATGAATTGGGGGCCAACTCGACAGCAGCTAACAACAACAACCAAATAAAAGCCTGATTACCATTGGTTTTGCACTGTAAAAAGAAATAAAGAAAAGCATATATACATGAAAACATGAAAAACAAAAAGCAACTACCAACTTTTTACTGTGTCAACAGCATTACAGTCATCAAAGTAATTTGGCATTCTTTATATGCAGCCTAAATCATTAATTAAATCAAGCAGCTATTTGTATGACTTGATTATAAAGAATATTAATGATTGAACTGCAAGGCTAGACAACAAACACATTTCTTTGTGCAAAAGCAGCATATTAGAGTGAAATAAATACAAATTTCTATATTTTGTGTTACCAGCAATGAAATCTACATTGCTCCTTCAGGAGTACAAAAGGAACGAATTCAGGTATGGTAAAGGGATACTTCTTAAACCTAAATGTCATTTCTTCTTTACTTAACTCTTGTTTTATGAAATGGAATTAATTTTAAAATATAATTAAAAGAAAATGTTGGGTTTGAAGGTTGATTATATTGTGATAATTTAAATAACTAATCGATGAGCACTTACTGAGTAACTGTATTTTGTTTTCTTTTTTTAGGTGATAAGTATTCTCCATGCAACCAGAATATATTTTGCAATCTCATTATACCTGTAGAGGGCAAAAGAGAGTAGTTTATTTTTAGTTGTAATAATAAGTGATTGTAACTTTGCAGAATTATAGCGCCAGCTAGTGGGGTAATCGGAGCCCTGGTGGCGCAGTGGTTGAGGGTTCGGCTGTCAACCAAAAGGTGGGCAGTTCAAATCCACCAGCTGCTCCTTGGAAACCCTGTGGGGCAGTCTACTCTGTCCTATAGGGTCACTATGAGTCAGAATCGACTCAACGGCAATGGGTTTTTTAATTGGTTTTAGACCATCAAACTGATGGTCTCAAATGGACCTAAATATCAAGTGCAGCTTCTTACCAGTCTAAACTATGGCTGACTCTTATTTAATAATAGCAAAGCTATTCTAATTTAAAGTTATGAAACTTTATTTCAAAGTTTTGAGAAGACCCATTCTGTATTAATGCTGTAATAATGACCCAATCTAGTTAGAAAAATAAACATACAATTAACTTGTATCTAAAGCAAGAAAAGCCGCTTCATTAATGAAACATTTATATTAGTTTCCGTAATAAATCCTGGTAATGAAAGTTAAAAGCAACAAATATACATGCATTACTAAGAAAAAAATCTGTAGATCTACATAATTCCTTAGTATGTTAAGAATAATATGCCTTACTGAGATTAGTCTTTCTGGGTACGGTTAAACTTAAATTTCTGAAAGGTTAAGAAAATTTTACTCTATGCTTTTTCTTTAATTTTATGAAATGTGAAGAAATAGTTTTAACACCCCCATTTGAGAATGCTAGTTTCTTCATATTCTCTCTCTGACATAGTGTTGCAAAATTAGTGGGCAGAGTTAAGAAGCTAAATTGATGAAATGACAGCAATACCATTGCATACATGTTAATTTTCCATATCAATTTTTTCTCCAAGCTCTAAGGGAAGGTATTTTTAACTCTTAAGATTATTTTTATTAGTAGAAAACTTTTTTTAAATTCCTCCTCAAAATGATTAAAATGTTTTGAGAGAGAAACTATAATTATATGAATATTTCAAATGTGAGTTAAACATATCTACATATATATTAGCACTCTGTATGTATGTATATGTATAAGATATGTATACAAGAAAGGGGGGCATTTCTAATTGGTATTGTGTAAGCCTTCTTTTATTCCTTTTCTCCCTGTATAAATAGCCTGAAGACATGTTTGTTTGTGACATAAATGAACAGGACATAAGTGGACCTCCACCATATAAGAAGCTAAAAAAAAGCCAGTGCACTCCTCTTTTCATGAACGCTTACACAATGAGAGGTATGCAGAAAATGTGTTCAACGTGAAGAGTATTTGCTAAGTAGGCTCCCCTAAATAATAGTAATTACTATTTTAGCTAACATTTATTGAATGTCTACAATATGCAAGAACTTTAAACATGTTAACTCATTCAGTTTTCACATCAATCCTTTGAGGAAGGTCCATTATTATTCCTTTTTACATATGAGAGAACAAGGCTCTGGGAAGTCAAATAACTTTCCCAAATTAAACAGCTAATGAGTATCGGAGCCAGAATTCCAACCCGGTCAGTCTGACTCCACTCTGACTGGATTATCAAATTGACTATAATTATCTCAAATCCCAGCTCCTAGGTTAAAAGATATTTTTTGAGCATGTGTAAAGTATTGTGCATTGTCCTCATGCTGGATAAATTTGATGTTTTTATTACCTTCCAATTCCTCTATTAGTATTTCCCACCTCCTACTGATCTTCCTAAGGAGCCCTGGTAGGGCAGTGGTTAAGTGCTTGGCTGCTAACCAAAAGGTCAGTGGTTCGAACCTGCCAGGTGCTTTGCAGGAGGAAAGACCTGACAATCTGCTCCTGTAAAGATTTCAGCCGAGGAAACCCTATGGGGCGGTTCTACTCGGTCCTATAGCGTCATTGTGAGTTGGAATCAACTCAACTGCACACAAGCACAACAGCACTGATGGACCCCCTACCCTTCTCCCCACCATGCCAGGAAAAATAAGTCTATCACCTTATGTATATATATACATACACATATGTATGTATAACTTTAAAAGGTATAATGTAGCCTTCATTGAGCACATGACTTTATTCTTCCTCCTTCAGGAGCTGGCGCAGTGATTCACACTCACTCTAAAGCTGCTGTCATGGCCACCCTTCTCTTTCCAGGACAGGAGTTTAAAATTACACATCAGGAAATGATAAAAGGAATAAGGAAATGCACCTCAGGAGGGTATTATAGGTATTTATTTTTTTATTTTCCTTCAAGAATTCACAGAAGTATTTTTCATTCTTTTGATAAATAAGATACTGATCTTTTTATTGATTTAATGAGATGTTGTGAGTCCTGTGTTAAAGAATATGTCACTTAATATAATGCTTCCAAATCCATTCTCGGTGACACCAAATCAGATGGCCCCCCTCCTCCCTTCCTGCTGACATAGTAAACTATTAGCAACATGAATAACGAAATGTTTGTCACAGTAAAATGAAAAAACCTTGGCTGGGATTTCTACAGAGATGGAAAGATGATGTTTCTTTATTGACGCACCCAAAGAGCAAGGTCTCCCTACCCTCACTTTTCTTCAGAAAGTTTCTCCCTGACTAGCAGTGGCTAAGCTCTTGGCTGCTAACTGAAAGATCAGCAGTTCGAACCCACCCAGCAGCCCTGTGGGAGAAAGACCTGGCAATCTGCTCCTGTAAAGATTACACTCTAGAAAACCCTACGGGGCAGTTCTACTCTGTCACATGGGGTCATTATGAGTCAAAATTGACTCTATGGCACCTAACAACAACAAATTTTGATTTAATTAAGTATTTGTGGAAATGTTTTCATGTTTATAAAAGTTTTATAACTATTTTAATTAACTAGATCTCTAGATTTTTATAATTTTTCAGTTTGAAAGGTGGCATAGCTAGTATAGAACAGGGTGACCTGCTAGATAAGTTCAGATAAATCTACCAACCCACAAAAGTGTGGTTAATTATAATCTGGAATTTAGTGATATGAGGAAACATGTTCTTAGTACTCATGTACAAGCTAAGCATTGCATTAGAACTTAGCATACTTATTCCTGAGCCCTCACCCTCGTTAATCTCCTAAAGGGCCTGGAAACTTCTTCCTTCCCTGGTTCAGAGAGAAAGGGTGCCAGTTTTTCTTACAGTGTTCTTACAGCAATGCTATATTGTTACTGCATGTAATAGAACGTACATGTTTTAACTAGTGTGCTGATAAATTGATTTGATTTCAGTTAATATTTATTGTGTACCTAAAGCATTCCTCAGTACTGTGAAATACCTAATTACAAAAGTTAAATACTTAAATTGTAAAAACGGAACGTAGTAAATGAAGTATAGCCCCATAGTGCCATTTACATATCTGGGTCTTGAAGGAGAGGCAGTATATGTGCTATCAGTGTCATAAGGCATTTGATGGCTTTGGTGAAGAAATAAAATTGGTCAGAAGAAAGTAGAAAAGGGTAGGTAGAGGAATAGAGCATAAGAGAGAGCCTTTGGAATTTTGCGACATAAATGACATAAATGAAAAGATGCCCTTTGTTTTGCATCATAACATACACATTTTACGTATTATTTTGAATGTTTCAGAATTTAAAGAATAAAAAAAATTTTAAGATGTCCTTTCCAGTTCCATTTGAACCTGGCTGGGAAATGAGTAGCAGCTCGTTATCACAGTGATATTCTATAAAAATTAATTGAGAATCCTAAGATTTCAGGCAAAAGAAGGGGCAACGAAGATTGGATGAGACAAGATGAAGAAAACTCTAAAAGATGGAGTTTTGATCTTCCCTACTCTATTGCAAAAACGTCCATCTGGAAAAAAAAATTCTAATAGTTAATTCTTACCAGGAGGAGGTTAATATGTCTAAATATAATTGTCCTTCCTATTGGAAGCAATCTATTTTGTAAGCAGTACAGCCAAGAATGCTCCTTAGAAGCGAGGATGGCGAGACTTCATCTCAAGTACTTTGGACATGTTATCAGGAGGTACCAGTCCCTGGAGAAGGACATCATGCTTGGTAAAGTCGAGGGTCAGCGAAAAAGAGGAAGATCCTCAATGAGATGGATTGACACAGTGGCTGCAACAATGGGCTCAAGCATAACGATTGTGAGGATGGCGCAGGACCGAGCAGTGTTTCATTCTGTTGTACATAGGGTTGCTATGAGTCAGAACTGACTTGATGGCACCTAACAACAACATTGGAAACAACAGGCCTATATTAGAGTGAAAAGAACGTGTTTGAGGGTCAAAAGACTATCTTGGCTCTGCTCTTCATTTAACTTCTCAGGATCAGTCTCCTATCTATAAAATGGGGGCAGTGGGTTGAATTTGCTTCCGGTCTTACATTGCTGTGGAATTCTTTTGCATCTGAAATTGTTTCTGACTATTTGGTGTATGCTAGAGGAAAACATAAGTTGTGGTTCTTCTTGTCAACATTAGGAAAGATTTGGGGACAGGAGTTCATCCATAGTGAAGAAGCAAATGTTACATTTTCAGTGCAAGAGAAATTCATGTAAAAAGGAAAACATTTCTGACTTTTGATTGGTAACATCTTACATATGACAGATAGTTAATTTTATCAGTAACTAAGTTATTTGCTTGAATCTTATTACATGAAAAAGAACAGCATATTATTTCTGAAAATATTGTCATACCTTTAATAGTTATTTCCAGAAAGTTCTTGCATCCCGGTGCCACAAATCACATTGCATTTATTGGTTTGTCTATCTGAGGCATTTTGGGGTTTTGTAGAGATGAAATAAAATGATTTTGTATTGTTGGGAAATTCCTAATTAATAGTTTAATTATTAATCTTTTCTACACTTCTGATTCTGAGATTTATCATTTCCCATCTCCCGTTAAAAATATTATAATTGTCTCTGCTTTAAAGAAATACTTGTATGATCTTGATAATTTCTTTGTTGGGTTTTGGTATACTGTACAAATTTCTGCCACTTAGGATTAGAACAATGCCTGCCAAATTCTTAAGGCGTCTTTTGGTACAAATATTTATGCAAGATACACAGAATAACATGCAACATCTTGTTCATAATTTGGAGTGGCTTTCGGACATAAAGAGAATGTCTAACTGGTTACTTGAAAAAATGATAAATCTTGTATATGAATACATTTATTTGTTTTAATGGGGAAAAAATGGCCTGTTTTGTCTTACAGATATGATGATATGTTAGTAGTGCCCATTATCGAGAATACGCCTGAGGAGAAAGACCTCAAAGAACGAATGGCTCATGCAATGAATGAATACCCGGACTCCTGTGCAGTGCTAGTCAGACGTCATGGAGTATATGTATGGGGAGAAACATGGCAGAAGGCCAAAACCATGTAAGTGTAAATCAAAGAACAAGTCACCACACTCTTAATATGAAAGACAACAAAGTAAGTTTTATGATTTAAAATGAAGTGTGAATTTTTTTGTTATTGCTAAATTGGTTTAATTTTAAATAGTTTATTATTATTTCTAGATATTTTTATTATGTGCTCATTCACTCAGAAATATTTATCGGATGAACTATTATTTAGCATGGCCCTCTGTACTTTGTTACAAAAAGGAAAGAGGCACAGATCCTGTTCTCAAAATTTAAGGCTGGTAGGGAGAATAAAGCTAACTCAAGTAATATAATAATTCGCTACATTTATTTCAAAAAGTGGAACATCGTAAAAAATGTAAGTTTATGTATACAGTTTATTTTAAACTCTCTTTTATTTCCTGAGAAGTATATAATATGGTTGCATGATTCAGTATGAATCATTTCCATGTTTTAATGTCAGGGGCAAAATGAGAAACATTTGATCTACAGTTGAGAAAAAAATGTACTAGGAACCAGGCAGGGTTAACTTGATGGAGAGGAGAAATAAATTATTTAGGATTGGCTAACTCTGTTTCCCTGAATACCTTCCATTCTGTTTGCTTTTTCTTTTATAGGTGTGAATGCTATGACTATTTGTTTGATATTGCTTTATCAATGAAAAAAGTAGGACTGGATCCTACACAGCTTCCAGTTGGAGAAAATGGAATTGCGTAAACCAATACGAAGTTTAATTATATACAGAGATAAGGCGAAACTTATTACTGAAATGAAACTCGACTGTTTTTTAAAACGAATTGAAAATTTCCTTGAAGCATACTATGCTATTAATTTGTCACTAAGTACCACAGGGAGACCCTGGTGGCATAGTGGTTGAGTGCTACGGCTGCTAACCAAAGGTCGGTAGTTTGAATCCACCAGGCGCTCCTCAGAAACTCTATGGGGCAGTTCTACTCTGCCCTATAGGGTCGCTATGAGTCAGAATCGGCTCAACAGCAAGAGGTTTGGTTTTTTTTTGTTGTTGTTGTTGTTTTTGATGAAGTACTACAGATGAGCACACTTAATCTTTTCTGATACTGAATGGTATTTGCTTATATTGTTGTAATTTTAAATTACAGTGCAGTGGAATAAAAATTTTATAATCAAGATTTTTTGTTTATTTTAAAATTCTTAACAGCAAAATATTTGCCATTATTTTGATCTCTTTCTTATATACACTCTTAGAATTCCTCTTTATCTTTAAAGTAAAGCTGCTAGTGATAATAGAACTCATTGGGGAATTTCCACTTAATTATGTAATGAGCATTTCTTGTTTTAATATTGGTATCATAAAATTTATGTGAAAAATTAAGGCCAAACCTATCCCTCAGTGTTAATATCAAAACGATTTTAAAGATTTCTTTTATAGTATATATAGGACGGTCATTTCATGTTGGGATTGATTGTGAAATTCAAGTCAGGTGATACTGACTCAAATTCTCCTAGCCAAATAAACCCTGACCATATCAGTGATAAAACAGAAAGTGCTTTTATAATGTAGCCAAAAGCAACATCAACTTGATTGTAAAGGTTTTGTTTGGTTAATGTTTTCTTTATTTTTTAGTTGGGAGGGAAGAAATGAATAATAATTACACCACATCCAGAATCTCGATCTCATGCACCCACCTCTCAGATTATCATCTTCCACTTTTGAGCTCATTTAGCCCAGTTCTTCCAGCAATTCTCTAATGTCATCCAGATTTCTAATCCCTTGATTTTACCATTTTTCATTATCTGTTACTCCCCTTTTGCCCTTACTTCCTTACAAAGCATAGATTGCATGGTCCAGTATCTGAACCACTTCATTGCAAACATCCTAACCCTCTTGTATCTTGCTCACCTGGCAAAGACCTCAATCCTTGTTAAGCCAAATTTTCATTTACTTGGTACCTGCATCCAAGCAGTAAGAACTAATAGAGAAAAATTACAGAACCACGTTGACTGATCTTACTTGATATTTATGATCACAAATCTCAGGTGGGCACTCCATACTGCCAAACAAACCGATAATTCTGTAGTAAATTCATTTTCCCAAATTCTTTACAACTGCTCACCCTTCTTTCATCAAATCTCTAACATCCTTTCCCCACCAGCTTTCAACTGAACCTCAGCTCACCTCATACTCTGTACAATTCCTCTTCTCCCTACTCTTGAAGCCACTCCAGTCAAGCTTTTGTCCGTTCCAATCGGGCTTTTCTCCAAACCAATCGGGCTTTTCTCCAAACCACTCTACTAAATCTCCTGTTATCATGGTCTCTGAAGATGACCACATTGCTAAATCCAGTGATCAGTTCTCAGTCTTCATCTTACTTAACCTATCAGCATTCAACATAATCAACCCTCTCCTGTCAAACACTTTGTCTTCCAGGTCACTACACTCTCTGGTTTTCAACACACCTGACCACTCCTTCTTAGTCTCTTCCTCATCTGCTCTGCAAAGTTGGGAGTGCCCCAGGGGTCAGTCCTTGAGCAACTTCTTTTCCCTATCCTCACTCCCTTGGTGATCTCTCTCAGTTTCATGGATTTAAATACCAACTATACTGTGGCAACTCATAAATTTATATCTGCAGCTCACATATTTTCCCTGGTGTCCAAACTCACAATCTATTTGATATCTCCACACAAATGTCTAGTAGGCATCTCAAACTTAGTATGTCCAAAAGAGAATTCCTGATTACCGTATCTGTCTCTTCCCCCAACCCCTAAACCTTCCGGAAACTTTGCACAGCTCAGTTAATGGTAACTCCTTCCAGACACATAGATACTCAGTAAATATTTGTGGTAGGAACAACAGGCATTCTTCTATGCATACCCTTGTGACTGTTGTTCTCTCAATTATTCCTACTTTTTTTTATGGGAAGGGAGGGGAGGGTTAATTATGAATGAAAGATTAAACTGGTAAGAGATCTGGATCAAACATACTTTTTATTTCATTAAGTGCAGGACATTGCATTCACTCTCAGATTGAATAAGGGATTAACGTGTTTTAGTCAAAGGTGTGTCATTTGTTTCTCAAATGATTTTAGAGCCTTTTGGTTCCACCCAGCTCACTTTTGTGGGAAGTACTTCAAAATAATATAGTTCCCCAGAGAGTGTCCCAGTCAAAAAGGTGAAGTCAATCTTGAGGAGTGTTTCATCTTATATTTCAATTTGTTGAAATACTTATCTTTTGATGAAGAGAAAACTTTGCCAAGTCTCATGAGTTCTAGTCAAGGTGTTCAGATATGGGGATGATAATATTGATATCACCTTTCAAGAAACATTTAAAATTCTCCCGCCAAGGTTCTTTAGAAAAAGAACTTATAAGATAAAGAGAATTTGATTTTCATTTCATCTGCTCTGTAATCTCTAATCACTGAATCATCAAGTTTTGGAGATAATCTCTAGAATAAGTAGTCTTAGTATTTTTCTGTTGCAGTAAGTTACAATTGGTATTCATCTTTGTCACAATTCTAATTATGTAATTTTTATTATTTGACAGTATGTTTTCTGAAAATTAAACATGCATGACTTAAGAAAAAAATATATATATAGTTTTCCTCTATTTACTACATCCTTGTTTAAAGTTCTTCAAGTTTTTAATTGGTGGACTTTTAGAAGCCAGAGAATAGGCAGTTCTTACCATAAATGCTATTCATCTCCACCTATCATTGTTCTTGAAACTCCTTGATTTAGAGATCCTTAAAAATTATGAAGGTAAAATTAATTTATTCATGTTAAGTCATTAGAACAATGCACAGTACAGACCAAGTGCTCACTAAGTGGGAGCTATTATGGTCATTGTAGTAATCACATTGTTGTTAGTTGCCATCCTGTCAGCTCCTACTTAATGGCGACCCCATGTAAAACCTTGCTGAGTCCCTTACTCATGATCATTGGCATGCTTGAGTCCATTGTTGCCTTTCAACCTATGGGGCTCATCTAGCACTATATGAGATGACATTCTGTTGTGGTCTATAGAGTTTTCATTGGTTAATTTTCAGAAATAGATCACCATGCCTTTCTTCCTAGTCCGTCTTAGTCTGAAAGCTCCAGTGAAACCTGTTCAGCATGGATGACCCTGCTGGTATTTGAAATACTGGTAATATTGCTTCCAGCATCATAGCAACACATAAGCCACCACAGTATGACAAACTGAGAGACAGGTGATAGGTAGTAATCATAGCAGCCTCTATCTATTGAAAAGCTACTACTATGTGCTATAGGGTCACTGTGAGTTGGAATCACCTTGACGGCAATGGGTTTCGTTTTGGTTTGGTGCTACTATGTGCCAGGCAGTATGCTAAGGACCTTTCAACACATAATCTCCAATTCTTGTAGCAACGCTTAAAGGTATTATTACTCATTTTACAGACAAGGAAAATGAAATTCAGAGGTTAAATTATCCAAGTAGATAATTTACCAAGATCATCCAGGAAGTCCTTTGCACATCCCCACACTAACTCAACTTTACCTCATTTGTTATAATACTAATTGCTCTTGTGAGTGTAAACGGAGTGTCACTGTTAAAGCATATTCTGTTTCTGATATAGAATTAGGGACTTAGGCCTCTAATACAAGTTTCATTGAGTTGAAAAAGAAGCATCTTTGAGGCTACTGACCTATTTCCCAAAATTTTGGGGGGACCATTAATTGATGCATTGGATTTTCATTTATTATTCAAGTGTATGATTAATTTTTATCTATAAAAAATAAATATAGGAACCTATACTTTTAATAAGTACGTTTTACCTTCCCTACTTGATACTGTTTATTGCAATAAAGACCACATCTATGCAAATGAAGTCAGAATTGTTTCTTTTGCTATACAATAGAGCTGCATCTTAGGTTTGAAAGTTAATGAGTAAAATGAAAATCTCCAATAGTCAAAATTACCTTAAAAATCCCTTAAATTAGGGGACCTCATACCATCAAGAAAGCAGGGCCAGGAGCAGAGCGCGTCCTTTGGACCGGGGTCCCTGTGCTGAGAAGCTCCTAGTCTGGGGGAACACTGATGAGAAGGCCGAGAGAGAGAAAGCCTTCCCCTGGAGCCGACACCTTGAATTTGGACTTTTAGCCGACTTTGATTATGAGGAAATAAACTTCTCTTCATTAAAACCAAAAAAAAAAAAAAAAATCCATTAAATTATAAAGTGTAGCACTGAATATGTGATTTGTGGATGTAACTTACACAGTTTCATCCTTTCAATATTAAGTGCTTATCTGTGGCCCTCAATCATACTTTGTTACCTTGCTCAAGAATTGATCAAGCCATCATCACCAATCACTTCTTGACTACTTGAACAATGTGTTTTAAAATCATTAACAAATTTTCCCACCGGTTTCACAGCTATTCATTGATGGTTTCAAGCCTAATTGCATCCATCACCTTTAATGTAATTAAGGAAAAAGGATGTTGATGGTCTGTGATGGTTAAGGTTGTGTGTCAGCTTGGCTGGGTCATGATTCTCAGTGGTTTAGCAGTTATGATGTAGTTTGGCACTTATGTAATGATGGAATCAACTCATGATGAGATTTTCTATAGGCAGTTAATCAGTTGAAAGGGTGTTTCCTTGGGTGTGTGGCCTGTCTCTAGGATATAAACAGATGTTCCCGTAAGGCTTTCGCTCTGGATTCTACATCTGGCTCATCATCTAACCTCTGGTTCTTGGGACTTGAGCTAGCAGCTTATCTGCCAGTCTTGGGATTCCTCAGCCTCCACAGCCTGTGAGCCAGAGGCCTGCTGTCTGACCTGCCATTCTTGGGTTCATCAGCCCCTGCAGCTACATGAGTCAGGAGAAGCCTTCAGTCTGATGCCTGACCCATGGACTTAGGACTTGCCAGCATCTACAACTGCAGGAGCCATTTCCTTGAAATAAGTCTCTCCCACCACCCCCCATATATAGAGTCAGAACCGACTCAATGGCAGTGGGTTTATATGTATACA